ATTTATTATGATTGCAATTTTGCTTTGACTAAGAGAGATTTTCTTCTTCTTCCGATGTCAGAATACTTGGTTAGCCTTGGCAGACTGTGCATCTTAGACGGCGGCAGGGTCAAAGATCTGGTGCTCTGCCTCAGGCTGTGAAATGCCATGATTCAGCCACAATTCAGAAAGGTTCCAAAACTGAAGAACTTCAATTCATATTATGAATGCAAATGGACCTTCTTACAGCACTGGACAATTATCATCTTCATTAGGGCTTGTCCGCCCCTGAACAATTCACGGATTATTGTCAGATGTGTCCTTTTCGTCCCAAAAAGTAAAATTACGATTTAGAGATAACATGGCTAAATGCAGTACAAATCAAGAGAAGCCAATATACAACTCTCTCTGATTCTGGAATCTTTATGGAAGGAAGAAAACAGAGACTAATTTCTTTTTTTATCTTTGCTGAGAGCTGATCGATATACAAGCTGTAGGATATTTAGACACCACAGCCCTTCTTCCCCTGAAATGATGGGATGCAATCCAAACAAGACTTGTCAGGAGTTCCATGGGAACACAAGGCCAGATTACACACTACATCTCATAATAAAGAATACTGCTTCCTTACACTATGTAGCTGACTTTTCTGCATGATAGGCTTGGATCCTAAGGCAACTACTCTGAGCACACACTGAGTCCTTCCACGAAGAGAGGAGCCTCCAGTCTATTGGCATCTCCAAACAGAAATGGGGAGGTAATGTGGCTGATTTCCCCCTTGCCCACAGCAACCTGGTCCCACTACTTCCCCTACTATTCCCAAAGAGTTCCTCAATTATCTAGAGCAGATTTTAGGACTAAGTGATTAACAGGATAATTAGTAAAAGCTGCCACCTCCTTCTTTCCTTCAGCAGAACTGTGAACTCCATTTTTACGACAGGAAATTGATGAGAGCATAGATTAGGCACAGTGTAGTACAGCATGGTACAGTTATTCTTTTCATATAAAAAGGGTGGTGGGGAAGATATTCTTGAAATACACAAAAAGTATACACAACGCGACACCTTTCCTTCCTAGAATTCTGGCCTTTGAAGCTGACAGAGATGGCAGCTGTCCGAGAAGTCCGTATCTGTTGCCAGGAAGCCCCTTGTCCCAGGCAGAGGTTGGTCAGCAACGTGACTGCCACACACGTACAGTTGTCTCCCACCATCACCTTGACATACTCCCTGGTCCGGGCAATGTGCAAGATCAGGTGGTTCCAGAGGGTCTGCAGAAGTTCCTCTTTTGCGCTCAGGCTTTTCACATCCCCAAAGAGGTGGGACAGCGTTTCCGTATGGGAATCAGGAGGGGGTCCAGTTCCTGGAATCAACTCTTCTTTCTTTGGAGAGTTTTGCAGGCTGAGCATTCCCAGCTGCTCTTTCAAGGAGCCTGGGTTGTCCTCTGCCTTCTTCTGCTGCCGTCTCATGAAGTTGTCAACAGCGTCTTTGTAGCTCTGGCCCTGAGCAGAGATGCCAGCGGGAAGCAAGCGCAGGACAGAACTAGGAAGGCTGAACACCTCTTCTAAGCTCACCACATGATAAAGGAACCCTGTGGTTTGCAGGATGATCTCCACCTCAGCGCGGATCTCCTCCCACTGGCCCAGGCTCTGTCCACACACAGCTCCCTCAACAACATAGATGATTCCTGGCTTGAAGCAGGGTTTCTTGGCTGTTCTTTGGCTCAGGCCCTCCTGCACTTGCCGCACCATCGCACTAGAGGCAGGACCACCTGAAAATGCAAGAAGAACCTTCTCTCCAGGGTAAATGTAGTGATTCTTCCCAAGCATGGCACGGAACTTGTGAATGAAATATTCCTTGAAACAGGCCTTGCAAAAAGCATCTCTAGTGCAGATGATTAACACTGGGGAGCCTTCTTTGTACTTCATGCATTTCAGAGAGCAGCTGCTCCATGGGTCCCTGCAGGGAGGGGACCCCCGGCCACCCCCGCAACCTCCCAGCTCGGCGTCACACATCCTCCATCGCTGTCTGGGCAGAGAGACTGCTATGCGACCAAAAGTTGTTTAATTAGTCACCTAATTTATACTGGAAGAATCTGTGGATGGGTGTTCCACTTTCTCCATACCAATGTTGGGAGACCATTTTTCTCCCAAGGGCTATACAGTACAGTATTTCCTCATTGCAAATCTATCAAGGGGGACAGATGCACAGTAGGCAGGGCTGAAGCAAGCAAGAGCTGGAGCTGGAAGCGCATGGAGCTAGCTACCTTTCTCCCTCTGTCTGTTTTCCAGACATTTTCTCTTTCTTTCCTTTTCTTCCTCCACATCTAGTAGACTGGAGAGGAAGGGGGGGGTCGTTTTTGCCAAAGATCTTATCTGAGGTGTTGTGAACAGGCCCAAGGCGTGCACAAAACTAGACCATGTCTGCTCTCAAGTTTCAAAACTGCTTTTTCTCTACTGTGTAAACCATTTTTCTTAAAAACTGATTTGGGGGCATCACAGTATAATTTAGAATGGACACATAGCCAAGATTGCCAAGATGGGTAGAGACCTTTCAAAAGACTTTGAAAAAGACCTTTCAAGTGATTCATGAAAGAATGAGTCATGACCCAAGAGAGGACCTCTACTGCAGTGAGTGAAGAGGCTTGCCATTTGCATAATTGGTGATTCCTATTGCTCTGTCAGTAGAAACAGTGACATTTCCTACATAGTGGAAAGCTGCCAGACCACCCAGAGAATATATTTTCTAATTTGCAGAACTTAATTTAAGTTTGAACAGGAAGTCTCAACATTTCTTTCTGCACTTGGGTCCCCTTTGCTGGCATTTTCATAAGGCAACCCACCCTTTTTATGTTTCTGACTTCATTGAAAACCTGCTACTTTGCTGCACATGTTGAGAAACAAAATGACCTTTTCATTAAAATAAACTGTAAAAAAACAACTTGTAAAAAACCCCTCACTCAAGATCCACAATCAAAAAAATCATTGTAGCATTCGCATTGTTGTGATGATGTGTTGTCAAGTTGCCTCTGACATATGACAACCCTAATATGGTTTCCAAGATCTGTGAGATATTTAAGGTTTTAACAGTGCCAACCCCCCCATTAGTTTCCATGGCCAAGTGGGAATTTGAACCCAGGTCTCCTGATTTCCACTCTAACACTGTATCCACACTAGCAGCCTAATGTAACCCAGGATGTCCTATAGTAAAATACGACACCATTATAATGCTGAATGAGACCCATGTTTGATCATAGCAAATACCTTCCCCAGCCCATGCAGCCTTTCAGTCCAGCCCATAGCCTCTTCTCCTACTGCCCCTACTTCCTTCTTAGTTTGTAAACAACTTCCTTTGTCAAGTCCACCCACTAGCATCTTTTTTCTCTCTTCCATGGTGCTGTCCCTTTTGCTCTCAAGGTTTTTCAGCTGGAGAAGAAGACTATGTAGGATGCTTTGACTCCACCTGATTTGGGACTTCACTCACTTTTGGCACATGGCCCTTCGAAAGCTGTCTATGAGGAAACAGGGTCCTCCCCCTGCTCTGGCTTACTTCCAACTAGCAATGGCTCCTCAAGCTGTTTTCTGATAACTGTTGCAACTTGAAAACACCAGAAATTAAACATGGGGCTTTGGATACAGGCTAATTCATTGTTTTCCACTGGAAAACAAATATTTAAACAAGTATTGTGTCCAGTTCTGGACACTACACTTCTAAAATGATGCTAACAAATGGGAACAAGTTTAGAGGAGGCCGACAAGGATGATCGGGGGATGGAAACCAAGCCTTATGAGGAAAGACTGAAAGAACTGCATGTTTAACCTTGAGAAAAGAAGACTGAGGAGTGATATGATAGCACTTTTCAAACATTTGAAAGGCTGGAGCGCCTTTCAAATACAGGGGAGCTCCAAGATCTGTTCTTGATGGTCCAAGAGTGCAAGACATGCAATAATGGGCTCAAGTTAAAGGAAGCCCTATTTCGCTTGAATACCAGGAAAAGCTTCCTGTTGTTGAGCAGCACAACAGTGGAACCAGTTACCTCAGGAGTTGGTGAGTGCTCCAACACTGGAGTCATTCAAGAAAAACTTAGATAACTACGTGGCAGATATGCTTTGATTCTATTCCTGCATTGAGAAGGGGTTTGGACTTGATGGCCTTGTAAGCCCCTTCCAACTTTGCTTTTGTATGATTCTATGAAAACAATAGAGCAAGCTAAGCTAATTTTGATTTCGGTGAAATCCTTTGTTTCACTATTCGTTAAGTTCAATGTGAATTGAGCTGCAGATCTTTTCTTCATACAAACCTTGTATTATTCCATTGAACTACTACAATGAATACTTGTTTTTTTTTCCAAATTTCTGTAATTATTAGGGTTTTAAAGATAGTAGGACTATGGTATCCACAGTCTACTTGTCTTTTAGAGAAGTGGTTCTCCAACTTGGATCCACAGATGTTCTTGAACTGGAATTCCCAAAAGTCCTGGCCAGCACAGCAAGTGATTAAGGCTTCTGAGAATTGAAGTCCAAGAACATATGGGGAGCCCAGTTTGAGAACCACTGCTTTAAATTCACTTTATGAATCTCTTCATAAAGTAATATGTATGCAAGACACTCCATGGCATTTATCTCTCACACAGCAGCCTAACAAAAGAAACGTTCCTTCTTCAACTCTATTGTATTCTATACTCTATAATCTGAAGGTTTGACAATATAGCTGAAGCCTTGACAATGGATGACAAATCAGAGATAGTGCACGTAGACACTTTCTTACACAGAAAGAAATCTACTTTTTTGTTGTCCCTTAAAGCAAAAAGAAAGCTATCCATGTATATGTATTATAAAATTGTTACAACCAATCCCATTAAGATTTATTTGACTAAAGATTATTTTAATCTCTTAATGTAATGAAATGTTTCTCTTCATTGTGATGACTATCCGCCAGCATATGCCTGCCATTCTATCAAAAGCCTTACAGAGGGAAAAAAAATCAAACTTTCTGAAGAAGGGAAGGCGTAACTTTTCTGTTTACCTTAAGCACAGTGATATTCCAAGCAAAACTCTCAATGGCTTTGCTCAGCTTCCTTCCCTTCAAGCCTTCCTTTGTTCCCAGATTATGAAGCTCTTCATGGAGTTCCATTCCTAATAAAAAAAGATGTAGCACAAGAATTAGGGGCAAGTAACTGAAAGAAACACTAAAATATAAAAAATACGGACCTGTTTACCATGCTGTATGTGGCTTGATGTATCTGAAGGGTGGGGGACCTTTTTTAGATTCAGGGCTGAATTCCATTTCAGTCACGTTCTTGGGAATGTCCTTTCAGTGTCGGACAGGGCAAAAGAATGGGATCAAAACCACTGGAATATTTTATTTTAAAGCTCTTTGTAACTAAGCCTTAAGAGAAACAACTGAATGGGGGAAAGCTTGTATAGAAGCTGGGCACACAATGCTGTCATGAAGAAGGGGTATGGCCATCAAGAAAAATCAGTGGTTTGGATTCAGACCCAGGAACAGAGCTCCATGTGCACAGTTAGTACCTACATGATATTCTTATCTCAGTCGAGAGTACCTATGCAATCCTGTGTGTATTTACTTGGAAGAAAGTGCTAGATTAACAACAATGTTCCATGAAACAACTTTAAGCCTTACAGCCAAGGAGGGAGCAATGGATGTCAGCAAGAGGAGAGGGGACGGACAATGCTTCTCAAATGCCTTTAAGAAATTACAAAAAGTAACTTGGAAAGGGAGTTAAACCCTAGCATTTCCTTTGACTGTCAGCTCAGTAGCAGTGTTACATTCAGTACAATCCACAAATTGAAGAGGATGCTCCTGGGTGAAGAATCATGCAAACCAGTTGGATCCTGGAAGAGCATATTGGACAACACATGCACTGACACACTCCAAGGAAATGTTCAGATGCAATGATGCCCTATGAGCACAAACATTATTTTGTCACGTGGTAGTGACTCTACTTTTGACCAAACTCCAGGAGGAGGTGGAAGAGAGGACGGCCTAATGTCCTGTTTGACCACATTCAGCATACTAAGGTTCATAGATCTCACATTCCAGGTTCCCATGCAGTATTTTTCTTTGCAGCATCAGACTTTCCTTTCACTTCCAGGCATGTCCGCAGCTGACCGTCCTTTCAGCTTTGACCCAACCATTTCATTAGCTCTGGAGCTACTTGTACTTGTCCTCCACTCTTCCTCGGTAGCATGTTGGACGCCTTCCGACCTGAGGGGCTCATCTTCCAGTGTCATATTGTTTAGCCTTTTGTTTCTGTCCATAGAGTTTTCTTGGCAAAGACACTGGAGTGACTTGCCAGTTCCTGCTCCAGGTGCATCACATTTTGTCAGAACTCTCCACTATGACCTGTCCGTCTTGGGTGTCTCTGCATGGCATAGCCCATAGCTTCTCTGAATTACTCAATCCCCCTTGCCATGACAAGGCAACAATCCATGAAAGGGTCAAGGAGCCTACTCTAGTGCAATGTACTATGCCAAGCAACAGGGTTTATTTAGTTATTTATTTTATTTATTGGATTTTTACCCCACCTCTCTAGACCGTGTCTACTCGGGGCGGTTCTGGCCCTTATCAGAAGGGAAATGTGTAAATTAGTAAAATGTGTTTACAAAGGTGTGCATTGGGTAGAATGTGTAAAAAGAATTGTACACAAAATTCCCAATAAAAAACAAAAGAAAACAAAAAGTCTTGCAACCTGGCACAACACAAGGATGGGAAGAAAATGGAGGTGGAATTTGAAGAAAGTTTGTGTGGAGGAAAATGATTTCTGTTCTTAGGCTTCTGTTCTAAGATTGTGGCTGCAAAGCCTGAAAAGTCCCTCTTAAGAAGACACTATAAAAACAACCCACCACAGAACATTGGTTGGATGATACTCTGGGACACAAAGCATCTTTCTAAGACTATGTAAGTATGGAAGCCTTCGGCTTGCCATAACATTCATTCTGGCTAAAAGTAACTTTCCAAAATCTCTCCAAACCTAAGGTGTTGCTGCTCTGAGGTTGTGAAAAAATAGAGGACATACCACACAGCTTTTCCTTTTTTGCCTAGTAACTGAGAACACATGGAGTAAACATTTACCTCAGCTATTAAACATCTGTCAGTCATGCCAAATAAAAAGCTTTCTGCTTTCATATCATATTAAAGGGGTTACACAGAAAGTAGATCCTTTGTCTTTATCGCCGGACAACCTGTCTCAGAATTTTAACAATTCTCATGTATTAAATTGCCATCTGGGTGAACTATTTTATTTTGTGTCATTTTAACTTATTGCCTCCAACAGGGATTTATTTGGTATCTGGTAGCTGTTTTACTCTTAAGATTTCATATGTATAAAATCTGTGGATGCCATTTACAGCCACTAAAAGGTGCTTTATTTCTGTTATGAATTACAGCTGTGACAATAAACACTCAACTGAAGCTGAATAAGACTTTGTGATAGGGGCATATTTTTTTAGCTTCTGAAACACCTCAAGATTTCTTTGCTTTAGTGAATTGGTATCGTCGTCGTCGTCGTCATCATCATCATCATCATCATCATCATCATCACATTTCACTTCCAAGCGCATTCCTGGTGACTGGAGGTGAACCAAAGAGTCCATTCTAAACATTAGGTATCAAAATATGCAGGTGAGATGGCATCTTTACAGATTAGCAGCTACTGGCAATTGTTTTAAATTGGTAACCCAAGATTTTGGAACAACTCCAGTTGCTGAAATTAGCATGGGGAGAAAAGTAACCTCATTTTGCTTCTATTTTCTCTTATTTTCTTGGCCTTGATACTTTGTGATTTTTTGGACTTTCTGTAATGTTGTGGTTGCTTGCTGATGGAACTTCAACGTATGTCTTCTTAGAATTAGCTCTTTCATCCACAATAACTTGGTCACTCCAGTACTATACTGCAGGTTCATTTTCTAAAACTGAAGGTAGCTAGAATTCCTAATATGGAGGATAAAGGGGGGTAACCCCTCTGATTTAATCAACTACTGAAAGATTATCTTTGAACCTTAGACCTGCACACTTAATCCACTGATGCTAGTTTAGGGCATCCAGCTGTGATACAATGTATTGTTTCTTTGGACTTGTGAGAGGCCTTACGAAAGTCACACCTGGCTTCATAATTATTTTCTGAAAGTATCTAGTGCACATAACTTGGTCTCAGATTGTGCATATGAATCCCTCAGGTATAGCTTGAGGATCATCTAAATTAAACTTCAGATTCCATTGTCGTTGATCAGCATCCAGGTGGTAACCCGAGTACTGTCTATGTAATAGTTTCTCTAGCCATGCATCCCAGTGCTTTGGGTTCGCTGCTTCTCTCTTTCAAGTTGTAGCAACTTTGGTCCTTTATTATTTTATACTATCATCAGATGAAGTGGGGCTGTGCTCTCATGAAAGTAGTTTCAAAGTCTGACTATTTGACTGATACAGAGATTTTTGAGGTCGACAAGCCTGTACCCTTTCACACTCCGTGGCAAATAAAGGCATGCACGCCTTTGGATAATGGCACTGGTATTTTGACTACAGAACTCAGGTTTTTCTACTGAAATCATCAAGATCATGGTACTTCCAGTACATAATTCCAAAATAATATGTTAGCACTGCGATTGCCAAGCTATTCATAGCAGTAATTCTTTCTTTTGCATCAAGTTCTTTTTTGAATACCACGTTCACTCAATCAAAATACTTGTTCCTGAATAACAATGTAAGTTCTTTGTGGTTTATATTGAGATTTTTGTGGATGCTTAAAAAAGTTTTTTCCACTCTTCTAACCACTGAATAAACTGTTCATTAGTGAGCTTGTAGTTATGGCCCTCTGAGAATTTGCCTCTTTTGATGTGAATAATAGCAAAATTATCAACACCAACATTCATTCTGATATCTGTACTGTAAGACTCAACAAAGTTTAAGAGACTATTCAGGTTATCAGAATAATTTAATATTGTCCATGTACATTAAATGTGAAACATCAAGGTCATTTGGAGTTGTAAGATGAGAGGAGGAAGTCTTTCACTGCCAAAAATGGCTATCACCAGGCTACATTAAATATACATTTAACTATTTTAGAGATTTTCCCGTAAGAGCAGCATTTTGGGTGTGAAACATTTTTGAATGACTAGCACCCAGAAAGTTTTGTAAATTTTAATTTCAGGTACAGCTACACTAACAGCAGGGACCAAGCTAGTGCAAGCTGCTTGGGAATGCTGGGTTGATTAGAACGATCTAATCAAGCTTGCCCATTCATATGGAAATGTATATAGACTATTGCTGATGCACTGCATCAGTTACAACAAAAGTTTAAAAAAATTCTTTGCGATCTCTTTCCTGACTTACCCTTTAAGATGAGGCAAAGAAAGTATTTTTAAATAATTGACGTAGTGCACCAGCGATAGTCTACACAGTCAAAAGGTTTTTTCATTTCCCTTGCTTATACTAAGCAGGGGAAATGATTAATTTGCCAACATTCTGAAGTGGCTTGCTTATTAAGTAACTTCATGATATTGGTAAATTGAAAAAAGACGGCTTGCTTTTCATCAATTCCAGTGATCACATGTGTTGGAACTGAGTCTACCCTGCACCAGAAGAGCAGAAGCCCCTTGACAAGGCTCAGACAGTATGGGTAGAAACACTCCAGACATCATCAGATTGCCATCTTTGAGAACACACCAGCCCATCCCTGAAGCATTCCAATCAGCAGGCTAAACAGCTCATGTAGTCAACCTCTAGAACTGTTAATATCGGAAGCTCTGTTAAGAGACTGCTTAGTTAGCAGAATGAAGAGCAACTGTGTTCCTGTGAGCTTTTAAACTCACCTTATTGATCTGTTCTCTGGAGCAATAAACAAAGCAGAAGGGTTACTAGTTTTTTTCAGAGACAAAAACAGAAAATACTTCTTGATACAAAAGCCTATCTTAAACTAGATAGAAGACCATGTCACAAGGCCTAAGCACATGGCCCAGAGGGGAGGGATTTAGACCACTCTCAAAAAAAGAGACATTAATATCACAAGGGTTAGAAAGGACTGAAAAGAGAAGACAGGAACTAGTAAATCTTTAACTCTTTCAGAGAGGCCACAGGACTGTGAAAGACTCTTACTTCCATAATGCCCCTATTGGGCATCCATGGAGAGAAGTGGAAAAGATGTCATATTCTCAAATATTCTTCCAAAAGAAAGTCACTTTTGTACCATTAACAAATGAAGGGCGGGGGGTTACCTGCTTTCTGGCATTGGACAATCTTGTGATGAACAGTGTCTGCTGTTTCGATAAGAAATTTGCTTTCTTGAATCATCTGTGGGGGAAAATAAAGCAAGAACAAGTTGTTGTTGTTTTACTGTCTCTCTCTCGTGCTCTTACAACATAACACCATATGCTGGAAACACCTTGTGCGCTCATTCCTGTACAATATTTCCCATTCTGTAACACATTAAATGAGAGACACTAAGGGAAGTTCTGTGAACATTTGTTTTATGTCAGATCGACACTATCTTGACGGCTTGGAGGAAGTACAAGACACTGCATCAGTGGGAAATTGAAGCAGGAGCTGTCCGCAAACTTAAGGCTATCAGTATCATGGGTATTTTCAAATCAGCAAATACAGTTGTGTTTCAGGTTAAGATGTTGCCTGTTTGCCACTGGAAGAGAAATCAATGGCAGAATAGATTCCTTCTCCTGAGCCCTTGCAGGCATTAGAGTTTGCTTGGGGAAACAGGAAATGAAGATGCAGAAAAGAGAAAAAAACATGTGAGTAGAAGACTATTCACATTATACTGCAATTTCGTTCTTTTGTTTCATCCATATCAGCAGGATTTCTATGTAAATCTCCAGCAGAATATTCAGCAAGCCACTACCTTTTATGTACAATGTTCTCTAAATACATTGTCTGCTCTAAACCCCTTGAGGCCTACACCCTGATGCCAAATAATGGCTGGGGAACAAGGGAGAGATAGCAATACCTCTGTTCTTCCCCACTCTTCTAAGAAGATGGGTATCTGCCTTGGCTGGGAACAGCAAATAAACTGGTCAAATTGCACCATTCTGTGGAAACATCCACTTTGTACCTCTCAAGACAATTAGCAGAGTTGAATGTATCTTGCTTCTGAAATTTGTAACTGTGCAGCAACTGCAAGGTGTTCTGCATTTTTAAAAAAGCACAGCCTGTCCTTACACTGCAAAGGACACCCAACAAAAATGAGCGTGTTCTTAAAATAGTTCCAACCACGCTCTTGCTGTCACAATAAATGCGTCCCAAGATGCATACATTATAAAATGTATACAAAAATGTTGACACTTCGGAGCAAAATACGCACAAAAAGATGCATGAATTTCTGAGGTGAAGTGGAGAGAGGCCAGATTCATAACATGACATGCAAACGAGACAGAATGAGGATGCCAGTGAGAAAGTGAGAAATGCAGCGAGAATGAGACTAGCAGACATTTACATCCAGAAGAGGATTCCACAGCGTCCAAAGAATCAATAAGAGATATAGTAAAAATCGAGTATCACAATATTTACAGTGAGTTTTACAGTGGCTGCGCTATCTATCTATCTATCTATCTATCTACTGCGCTATCTATCTGTCTGTCTGTCTGTCTGTCCGTCCGTCCGTCCGTCTATCTATCTATCCTAATCTAATCTAATCTTTGTGTAATGTTTGCACAATTTACTGTGGCTAACTGTGGCAAGTTGATATGGCGCCAGAGCACATGTCAGTTGTGCAATCAGGCAGTTCACCAGGGACATGCCCTGTCACCACGTCAATTAGCTGCAATTAACCATGGCCAGTTACACAACCCTCAGGCAAATGCTAACCAATATTTTTAATGTATATACTGCCACACACTCCGATATTCCTCTAGAAAAACTATATAAAAGGAAGTTTACAAAATGGCACGGATATTGCAAAGGAGGGCAGTTTATTGCTCAGATGCACAACAGAAAATACCAGATTGTGCCATGGCTCTTGCTCAATCACTAACACAAACCCCATACAAAAGAAGAAACCAGAAAACCAGTAGCAGTCTGTGCCACATCTAGAATAAGAATGCATTTTGGGATTTTTAACGCACGTAGAGTGGTAGGAAAATGTAATCTTTCCATGACACAAACTGTGGCTTCAATGGAAGTTCTATGACCCGTGCAACTCCTCCCTCCTCCTTGAAAAGAATATTTTTTTTACAAATTCACAAGGACCAAAGGAGGTATCAAATCCAGAAAGCTGCCATTTCCACAGATGAGAAGGCACTTTGGGGGGCTTACTAT